TATGGTTATCTAAAAGAATATCCTTGTTCTTAGGAAATACACACTGAATTATTAAGGAATCAAATGTATAATATATGCAGCTTATACTCAAATGGCTTGAAAGAATAAATAATAATATATACATATATATGGGAGGAACGATAAAGAAAATGTGGGGAATTGCTAAAAACTGGTAAATTTAGATAAACATTATGGAGTAGTTCAATGGATTATTTTTCTCCACACTTTTCTGATAGTTTATAATGATCTCCAAATAAAAGGATGATAGAAAACAAGCAAACAAAAACATTAGTATTCTGGAAATTACCTCAGTATAAGGAATGGCCAAGGTGCAGGAGCCTCTTTAAAGAACCTTAAGAGTTCTGGTTTTTACCCGGTCATGGTTTTCACGTTCTGGTGGAATTTTTGCCATAATTTTTCTCTCTTTTCCATGCCTTGCGGCAGTGGCAGAGGTGGTGACTGCAGTCTACCTTAAGGTTAAAAACACCTGCCTACCAGCCTCTCATCCTGCTATGTATCCTCTTCAATTATATCTTCCCTACAATTTAGAGGTGACATCAACAAAACAGTAACAAGTAATTAACAATTAATTTCCTAAGGATATTAATTATCATGAGGTTGTGTGTCCACAGTACTAAAATATATAGTTAATTTAGGAGGGATAAGGCTACAGAAACATTCAATCTATCTCTTTGGCACTGAGCGACTGAATTTTTTATTTTATTTTTATTTTGATACTAGGGGCCTGGTGCACAAATTCATGCATGGGAGGGGGGGTCCCTCTGCCCGACCTGCACCCTCTCCAATCTGGGAGCCCTCAGGGGATGTCCTACTGACGGCTTAGGCCTGCTCCCCGTGGTTCTCTGCTCTCGGCAGACCTGCCTGCTTGACGCCATCGCAGGCCCTGGTGTCTGCTCTCTGTGGGAGCCTGCTTGCCCTTCGCCGCCGGGGCCAGGGGCAAGCAGGGCCCTGCTGTCTGCTCTCTGTGGGGGCCTGCGGGGGACTGCTTGCCCCTCGCTGCCATGCCAGCGACCTGCTATCTGCTTGCTTGCTGTGGGGGACGTTCCCACCCCGCCCCCGGCCGCTTGCATGTGCACCAGCTCAGAGCACCTGGGTCCTGGGGATGTTCCTGCCCTGCCCCCGGCCACTCGGCGCCTGTGAGCGTAGGCCCGGAGTGGCTGGGGGTGTTCCAGGACCCCGGCTGCTCCGGGCCTACATGCAGGCCTACAGGCTCAGAGCAGCCTGGGTCCCGAGGACACCCATCCCCAGGACCCAGGCTGCTTGGCACCAGCATGTGCGCAAGTGGCTGCCCCGCCCCTGGCCACTCAGCGCCTGCGTATGCAAATTAACCGGCCATCTTTGTTGGGTTAATTTGCATACTCACGCCTGATTGGCTGGTGGACATCACAGAGGGACAGTCAGTTTGCATCTTTCTCTTTTATTAGTGTAGATAGTGATGGTGAACCTTTTGAGCTCGGCGTGTCAGCATTTTGAAAAACCCTAACTTAACTCTGGTGCCATGTCACACACAGAAATTTTTTGATATTTATTTTATATATTTAAATGCCATTTCACAAAGAAAAATCAACCAAAAAAATGAGTTCACATGTCACCTCTGACACGCATGTCATAGGTTCGCCATCACTGGTGTATATTGTCATTTGTATGAACTAACCATCTCTACTATAATGGGCATAGCATTACAGATGTGTGAGGAGTTTGGTTCTAGCCAGTCTGGCCTCTTAAGTCATTAGAAGTGGAGCTTATGTTGTAGTCAAGTGAAAAGTAAATTATTTGTATAAACTGTCTGGAAAATACTTGAATTTTACTATTTTGTATTTTAAATAAGCTAAATATCATTCAAACCCTGAGGGTCTTATCTTATAAATGACATCAAACAAATCTGAATTGTTAGTGTTTGTTTCCTGTCTGATTGGGGTAGCTCATGATTCATCATGCCCAAACCTTTTTCTTCTCACTTTACAAAAAAGTTTGGTTAGAATTGAGAAACAATGGCTCTTACTTACCTTAGTCTCTTAAGTAGAAGTACTTCATCAAAACTGTCATTTTTCTATAATTAGGACAAAACGATAATTTTGCTACTTGATCCCACAGCTATTTCAGGCCCATTTACTAGTAATACCTAAGAAGCTAAGTCCTAATGAGAGACCTGGGCCTCATTGACTGACTAGTGCCCATTCCTATCAGTGTGTCTTAAGATTTAGTGAGGTACTTCACATGCTTATATAGTAAATTGTCTAGAAGGCTATGGAATCGGTCATGCTCATGAATACTATTTGGTTAATTGTGTGAGGTTCTTTTTTGATAGCCCTGTAAACCCACTCACCACATTTCACAAAAATAAGAATGTACCAAAAATATAATTGAACTTAAATATTATTGAACATTTGCCTAGCTGTCATGGCTCAGTGGTTGAGTATCAACCTATGAACCAGAAGGTCACGATGCGAATTGCGGTCGGGGCACATGCCCACTTTGTGGCTCGCTCCCCAGTCGTGGGGCGTGTGGGCAGCAACTAATCCATGATTCTCTCTCATCATTGATATTTCTATCTCTTTTTCCCTCTCCCTTCCTTTCTGAAATCAATAGAAATACATTTTTAAAGTATATTATTGAACATTGTTTAATCCTTTTTTTAATTATTTAGAACACATTTTAGGATCTTGCAAATGTTCATGGTCATTATTTTGAAAGGAGTTCTCATAATATCACTCTCCAGATACAGAATAATAGAGAGTGGACTGTGTCTATACTGATTTAGGACATCTCTTTTACATTCTTGATATTCTTATATTAGCTTGTATTAATAAAGGAAGAAAATAATTCTACCTTACGTTTCAGGAAATTGAACTTTATATGATCCGTGAAAATAAAGCATCTCAAGGTTCTTCACATACATCCAGTAAAACCCGAGTAGTAACACTGCACTCAGAACTTTCAGTGGTTTAGACCAAGAAGTCATGATTCTAAGAACAAAGTTCAAAATAATCTCTTTTGGGAATTAGGTTCTATTCAGAAGTAAGGATTTATCCAACCAAAAAGCAATAACTTTTTCAAACAAAGAACTCAAGGAGTTATGTCTAATTGTGGCTTACTTACCATTTATATATAATTATTTTCAAATCTGTAATCCAGTAATTAATTCTTATATTACCTAAAATGTTTTATAGACATGTTATATTATTATGTAATGTAACCCTATTATAAATGGCAATGGTGTTATTAACTTAGCTCGTTTTACTTACTTAGTGCTTGTTTGTTCTTAGTTTATAGTTGTTAATTCCCTTTATAGTATGACTTGTACTTGGAAGTAATAAAACTAGATTTCTTTATAAATATTTATGGTACAGACCTTTTCCTAAATCAGACTTAGCCCTTTCCTAATTATTTCAATAAAGTCTGCTTACATCTTTTTTTCCCTGTGTAACAGTATGTCCTGCATGCTCCCTAGAATTTTAATCCTAGGTAACTATGCCTTAACTTCCAATTAATCAAAATCTTGTTAACTGCCATGTAGGTTCTGGTGTTACAGCGTGTGGAAAGTTAGTTATTCAGAGTTTAAGTAGATGCTTCTGGTATGGAGTCTTCTTAGCACCTACAGCCATGTGGTCAAAAGGGACCACTAAGTGAATGAGCCCTTCTTGACTATCAGTCTTTCCAAGAGGATCTTTTTTTGCATTTTCAAATCTATGTTTATCTATTATTGAAAGTATTTATTAGCTGCAGGTACCAGAAGGCAGACAGAACATGGTGTTTGTTTATTTGTTTGTTTGTTTGTGATTTTAAGTTCTTTACTAAGACCTTAAGGTTCTCAAGATCTCCTTTTCCCTTCTCTCTTGATCTTAGGTGAGACTGAAGTTTACAAGTCTTTGACCACATTGTCCCCATAGGGATGCAAATTTGTGATTTCAGAAGTTCCAGCCCCCAATAAAGAGCACTATACAATCTTTTGCAGATGTCCTCTGGGCCAGATTTCATCACAAATAACTTCATTCCATTGTCATGTGCCAAGTTTAAAGTACTGTATTAGGTTACTCTGTAGTCAAATCAACCAAGCCCTGGTCCAGACTGCTGTGAGACAAGAGCCCATTGTGTCCTGGTGGCTCAGTTGGTTGGTTCATTGTCCTATACACCAAAAAGGTTGCGGGTTCGATTTTGGTCAGGGTACAAACCCATGGTGCAGGTTTGATCCCCAGTCAGGGCACATACAGGAGGTAACCGATTGATATTTCTCTCATCTCAATGTTTCTCTTTCCCTTTCTCTCTAAAACCAATAAACATATCCTTGGGTGAGGATTAAAAAAAGAGAGAGGGAACCCATTGAGTTGTTCTGCCCATACATTCAGTGGCAGCTTTCCCTTTTGCTAGTTGACATATAGTTTAAAGGAAATAGGGACTCCGTACTAAAGCATAACCAGGTTAGGTTATTGTAATAAGCCAAAAAAAAAAATCAGTAACCCTTGACCTTGGCATGAAGTATTATAATAGAATAATAGTTGCATTTCTATTGTGCCGTTGTGGTTTTCTGTAAAGAAACACCCAAGAGGAATCATTATTTCTACTTTTAAAATTTATAGCCCTTTACTGTATCCAGGATTTCACTTCCCAGAATGCAGTCAAGCTTGAAGCTTTATTAGAGATCCATGATCCAGACCTTATAAACACTTCCTTTAGCTTATCGTTTCTGTTCAAGAATTTGCACTGTCCATAAAGGTACTGTTACCACATACAGTCGTTCCCCCAAAAATGAACCACCTAGGTATAACTCTGAACAAAAATCCATCTGTATGCTAAAAATTACCCAAAAAGCCCTGCTTACAGATGCCTTTGCACCTTGGTTCCTGAGTGCTCACATACAGGCTGGAGCTCATGTCTCTTTGAAAGATGAATGATGAAGGAGCTTCAGCTCTAATGGGTGAGTTTGTATATTGAGTATTACAAAGAGAAGTCAGTCTGCCTTTCTCTGGCTCTAATTGCAGAAAGTGAAGTCACCGCTTTTGCTGTCTTGGATCAGGACCAGGAAGAAATTATTGATACCAATGGAGCCGGAGATGCATTTGTTGGAGGTACCGACTCATTTATTTTATACTTATAAGTTAAACATTTCCTTAACCCTTGTCTCTACCAGATAGCCAAGATTTATGAATTTAATAGCTTTTAATTTCTTCTTTTAAATAATTAACTCCTAATGTTCTTTCCATATGCTACTATCACTGTAAGTATGAAGAAGGTATTTTACTACAGGGAAACTATGTATTTTTGACTTAAATATAATTTACTATTGTGCTATCCCCTAGTCATTTTCACAAGATTAATTGTGTCTGTCAGAATATTGCACAAACAAGCTGCATCAAGTACAGTGTGTAGTGTATTCATAGCCCTTTGGGCTTAAATGTTAACACATTGTTGTTCTTTAAGACAAATTGTGATAAATATTAAACAGTATGCTGCTAATAGCTAAGGATTATATTATTTGGTTAACCTGTGTTTCTAACACAATAGTTGGATGTTTATCTTATTAGGAAGAGTTAAATTTTTGTCTGGTTCAGGCTTAGCAAGAACTGGGACCATTTATAAGGACCATATTATTTTTGAAATGAGTACTCAAAAACAAGATCAAGATAATTAGGAGATTCTTGACTTCATTACTTAGATTGATCTAAAATCTGGTTCAAAGGTTCTTTTGATACATCTAAGCTCCTTCTAGTTAAGTGTAGGTAAGCTAGGTTATGGTGTGTGTAAAGCTGTAGATTTTAGAATGATAACCCACAAGAGTCCCTCCTGATCTGTTTACTTCTCATACCATCAAGCATGACAAGGAAAAAAAAGGCAAATGGAGCTGACCATTGTCCTTCTTCTCTTGGAAAATAATTTGAATCATGGTAAACATTTAAGATTGTGTGGTGGTTTTAACTCAGTATCGTTCAAAATACATATATATGTATGTTTGTATGTATTTTAATGGTCTTTTGTAGCACCATAAATATTTCATATTTTCTTCTTTGAAGCTATTCATGCTTAGTCTTAAATGAGCAGTTAACCATTAGACTGGTAGCATGCCCCATGCTCTTTTCTTTGCTCTGAAAGGCTTCATCATTGATTAGAGTATTTTGCAGCTATTTTTTTCTATTCCATACTGCTTCAGAGCTGTAACTCCATGCAGGCTAAAAATATCTCATCCAGAATTGGGCCAACTTCTGTAACACATTAAGGAAACACTATTGATTTCCTGGTTAGAAATTGCTTAAAACAGGAATCTTAGTACGAAACTTTTAAACTTGTCTCCATGTAGTCTTTTTAAGTAAAATATTTAAAACTTTAAGTGTTCTCTATTTTTATATTTCGGAGGGCAAATGATGGTAACCTAATGTGGCTCTGGGCTGTCTGGCTCTGCAACACCAGATTCCCTTCCAGACCCCTGGTTACCTGTAGTGCTTCCAGTAGTAGGGAAGAACAGAGACTTTTTGAGGGAGAGAGAAATCATTCTTAGGATACTGATGCAGAACAGCTAGCTCCCTATTTGTATTGTGCTTAAGGTGATGCATGGACTGCCTCAGCAAAGCACTTGGGTTCTTTGTTAAGGATTTTCAGCCTCTTTTTTATCTTATTCTACTTGCCTAGCTTCATTATATATTTACTGTCAGGGTACAGTGAGGTAAATAAAGAGGAAAGAGTACGGAACTTTTTGTAAAGGACCACATAGTGAAAATTTTAGGCTTTGCAAGCCATATACAGGCTGCATTGCATAGTTTTCTTGTTCTGTTTGCTTGATTGCTTATTTTCTGTTTTATTTTTTTCTTTTTACACTAAAATGTAAAAACCTTCCTTAGCTGTACAAAAACCGGCCACAGGCTGGATTTGGCCTTCAGTCTGTAGTTTGCTAACCCCTTTTAAAGACATGACAGCTTCCTCACTCTATTCACTTTCATCATACCCTGGATCCAAACACTGCATTTCACTACACATTGCTGGAATCAGTACAGACAAAGAAGAAGGCAGGCTGGTACTACTGCTGGTACCTCAATTAGGGAGCCATTTTTTCTCCCTTTAACTCTACTCTGATCAGTTCCCATGATAATGAGATCTTGAAAGACTGAGTCATGCAATGAGATGAATATGCTGTCATTTTCGCAATGGAATACTTATGTCAACATGTTCAGCACATTCTATGTAAGTCAAGCTGTATAGTAATAGCAATAGATAAATTTATATAGCATCTATGAGCCAATTCATACCTTAAGCACTTTACATATATTAACTCATATAATGTTCATAAAAGCTCCTGGCAGTTCATTTTATTGATGAGAAAACTGAGACATATAGGGGTTAGGTAACTTGCCTAAAGTCTCATAGCTAGAAAGTAGCAGAATCAGGATTCACACCAGGCATCTGGCCCCAGAGGCAGTGCTCTTACTCACTGCACTGTACTTCTCTGAACTTTTAGGGACATCTCATTAGGATAGAGAACCACAGACCAGCCCTACTAACAAAAGCTGGTTTTGCCAGAGAGAAACTTCCTCTCATCTGAATAGATGACTTTATTTATTGAACAGGAGCTTTTGTTATCTGATGGGATTCTCAGGACTGTAGGGTAAGATTGTTGCAAAAAAGAGAGGAGAAAGGGTAGGGAATCGAAGGACTGTAGTCCCTGGTGAGTTTGAACCAGGAGCTTTTCCTAAGCAATAGAATTGATTGCACTACAGAGATCCAGAAAGCCAGATCATAAACTTGCTTGGTCAGCATACAAGAAGTTATATGAATCATCTGTTTAGTAGCACCAGGCCAATACATTCATCTTACAATAAAGGAGGTATTGTTAGTTTAAAATACAGAAAAATCCATTGGCTAAAAACCCCTACTCCCATCTCTACACCAAGGAACTCCTTTCTGCTAGGATTTGAAATAATCCAGCCGTGGGAGCAAACTCCTCTACCTTGCAAATGAATGGAGAGGCAATGACAAGTTTTACATTTACTGTGTAGTTCCTTTTTCTTTGTTTTCTTGCCTGATTATTAATATACTAGAAGCCCAGTGCATGAAATTCATGCGCAGGTGGGGTCCCTAGGCCTGGCCAGAGATCAGGGCCGATCAGATTCCCTGCCTCTCTGCCTCCCTGCCTCCTCCTTCCCTCGCTCCCTCAGCGCCCGGCCGCCACTGGTTGCCCGCCATGTTCTGTGCCACCCCCTGGTGGTCAGCACACGTCATAGCAAGCGATCAAACTCCTGGTCTCCTGGTCGAACTCCTGAGGGGACACATTGCATATTAGCCTTTTATATATAGAGATCTCCTTTCTGAGTGACACATTCTATCTTTAGATAGTTAATATATGCTCCTATTACTTTCAATTTTTGCTGGCTTAAGAGTGTTTCTATCTTTTGTGACTTTGCATAACAATATATCATTCTCAAATTTAACTTCTTGAATAAAGCATCCCCTCACCTACCTTGTGCTAATTACATATCTCAGTACCAGAGTACCATGTGTTCCTATTAGCCACATAAAATATATATGGCTACATCATAGGTTTTCATGTATAATTTAAAAATGAATACCCCAAATGTATATAAGTTGAATTCATAGTTCCATCTCAAGGGTTTAGTGACAGTGACAAATCCTTCAGCCTCTACAAGCACACCTCCTTGTTCTATCTATTTGGGGTTCTTAAGCACTTTGTCACATTTGCCCTTTATTTGTCACTAGCCAGCTCTGATGGAACTACCCTTTTCACATTCTCCCTCAAAAGCCCAAGTGCTACAATTGTACCCTTGGAAATGGAGACAATTCTATAATCTCTAAGTACGATTTCCTAATTTCCCAGGTCAGGAGGACATTTCTTCCTGTTGTCCTGTTGCGCTTAGTCACAGCAGGTCTGCCCTTTCATTTGGAACCCTCTTTGTCACTGCCATAGTAACAAATGGAAACATTGAGAACATTTTGTGACAGGCACTGTCATTGTTCCTGATGAAATCTCTTCCCCTGTGTCTTCCCAGTAAGTGAAACTGAGGGAAAAAATCATAACAAGTACATGAAAGGAGACCTAACAATATGTTTCCAGTAGGCTGTCAATATGAACTTATGTTAATCTAATGATTTAGTCGAATATTTTATGGCAGTTGTAAAAATATGGTCTAGACCTACAAATTATCTTTAGACTAAAAATGAGTATGCCTTTGCCAGGCACATAGATATAACTCTCAGAAAAATGACTAGAGACCTTACCTAAGGACCAACATTCTTAGAATTAAAAAAGCTTCATTAGCCCTGCTAGTGTTGCTCAGTGGTTGAGCATCAGCCTATGAACCAGGAGGTCACGGTTTGATTCCCGGTCAGGGCACATGGCCAGATTACAGGCTCGATCCCCAGTACCGGGCATGCAGGAGGCAGCTGATCAATGATTCTCTCTCATCATTGATGTTTCTATCTCTCTCTCCTCTCCCTTCCTCTCTGAAATCAATAGAAATATGTGGGGTTTTTTTAAAGCTTCATTAAATGTGGTTAAGAGCCCTACATAGCTTAGAACAGTTTAGTATTTTGAAGGATGGTAAGTTAACTGTGCTGCCTCTAATACTTTTTATTTTTAAATTTCTCATAACTTTAGCAGAGAAAGTATATTACCCTAAAGATATTACCTACAATATGCATATGACTCTTAAAGCCACTTAGCAATCACAATGTAAGTAATTATTCTATTTCCCATCTAATAAAAGGGAGCACTAATTTCACTTTCTAATTAATGTTCAGAAAAGAATTTTGGTTAAAAAAGAAAAAAAAGATTTAAGTTTCCAGAACAGGGATGCTATTTCCTTTCCATGTAGCACCTGCCTATACTTCTGGCAGCCATTGAGATTCTTTAAATTATCTTCATATTTCCTATTCTCACTTTGTTTGTTCCCAAACACTTTTAGCTTACTTTCCCATTCTTCGTAATTGCTGCTTCATTGCGCTATGCAAAAAAGTGATGCAGAATTCTTATGATTTATTTTTCTGCACCACCTTCTTCCTTTGCTGTTAGACTCAGAAGAGTAGAAAATTAAATATATCATTTCTCACACTTCTTTGCTTAAAA